AAAAAAAAAAAAAAAAAAAGACAGCTAAATTTGGAAATTTAGACTGTGTAATTTGGTGAATGCTGATGTGTAAGTGTTACAATGCTCTCTCTTAGGGACTTGAAGGGACACCGACTCCTTCTGAGGCAGGTGAGCTGTGAAACTCCATTGTTCACCATCAAAGGGGACCCACCGGAGAAACAATGAGATCTCTACCCAGGAGAACATTCCAGTTAATAAAAGGCTGAGGCCGTCGGGGACCTATTCCCTCCAGCAACACTCTAAGCCTCTGTGGAACAATTCAATTTTTCTGTGGATACAAGTGATTATATCTAGTAGGTGGAACAAATGGAAATTAATATACTCCATTAACAGCAAGGCATAATTACTGGGAAAAATCCACCTGAGCTGGGATTTAAGCAGCCACCCACACCTAACCCAGGCACAAATCCAGCCCTGGCAAAGCCAGTGCTGGTCATTTTAGTGAGAAACCTGGGATATAATAATTCAGCCTCAGAGGCTGTCCGCAGGGTAGAAACCACACACAAACAGCAAATTGAAATGTTATTTGGACTGCCTTACCTGGAAGGGCACCATCCCAGCTGACTGTAACAAACAGGTGAAACCCCTGCCTTCACATCTTTTAAGTCAAGGACCGTGGTGTAGGCATTGCCTTCTCTGTCCCAGGGAAGCTGGTCTGGTCTGGCTCTATGGGTTTGAAGAGCCTATGGTGATGTATCAGAGCACTTCCTGTTGCTGTAACAACTATCAGCAATCATCAGCTCACAAGGATTTGTTTTGGCTCACTGTTTTCCAGGTTTCAGTTCATCACCAGTTAACTTCATTTTTGGGGAGGGGAGCCTGTGGCAGCAGTTGATGGCAGAACCAAGTGGCAAAGGAGACCCACCTGTGTGACGGTGTGAATACGTGGAGCGGGGATCACTGTGGCCCCACCTCTTTTTGGTTTTGTTTGGGGCTTCCAGACTTAGGTTCAGCAGCCTTTTTTCCATGCCCCTCAGGACCACCTGCCCAGGGGTGGTACTGACCACTGTGGGTTGGGCCCTCCCACATCAATCATCAATCAATAAAATGCTCCTTGAGGCTGGAGAGCTGGCTCAGTGGTTAAGAGCACTTGTTCTTGCAAAGGACCCAGGTTTGATTCCCAGCACCCACACGGTGGCTCACAATCCTCTGTAACTCCGGATCCAGGATATCTGACGCCCATTTCTGGCCTCCTCAGGCAGAGGCTCACACGGGTACACATAGTGCACATACATATATACAAACAGGCAAAATGCTCCTCACACACATAAAATAATAAAATTTAATTTAAGTAAATACATCTTTAATAAGATCTAGCGAGCCTTTTTTTCCAAACACAGACAGTGACCCTCGGAGGCTTCTGAAGCATTACCAAAGCCTGTGGCTTGAAGGTGTTTATCCACTTAGGGCTTCCTGAGTGCTGGGATTAAAGGCACACGCTACCATGAACTATGTTTTTTTTTTTCCTTTTTCTTTTTCTTTTTCTTTCTTTTTTTTTTAATGATGGCCACTCAACCAGATTTCTTTTGTGGATCCACACATAAGATACTAACTATCCTTAAATTAGAAATAGAACTTCTCCGGCTCTTTTTGCAGTAGGTGATGGTTAATGCAGAGATTGCTAACACAGTGCCGGACGCAAGTTTAGCCTCTGCGGGGCACCAGCATCGCCACCTCCAAGGCTCAGGAACATCTCAGAAGAAAGGATGGAAAGAATGTAAGACGGGGATGGAGAGGAGTGACATGCTGTCTTCTGAGCATGACATGCCTGTGGCGCTCATGAGCTCACTGAGGAAAGTCTGTCAGGTATGAAGGAGGGGACATGAAGCCCCCCCCCCTCTCTGAGGAGCTACAGGCAGTTGGTGGTAGCTGGGGAAGGACACCACTTCTAAATGACCCCTCACCCATGCTCATGCTAGTGATTCCAGCTAAAAGTGCTCACACATGTGTGCATGTACGCACACGCTCACGCAATGTGAAAACAGGAAAAGGACTTACCGGGAAGAAGAGGGGGCTTGGTAGGAGGAAGGAGGGTAAGGAAGGCTACTGGGGGAAATAGGGTCAAAGCAGATTATATGTGTCTGAAATTGTGAAAAAGTAAAATATAATACAGATGTTTTACGTATTGGGAGACAGAGGCAGATGGAGCTCTGTGAGTTCTACATAGAGAGTTCCAGGACAGTCAGGGCTACATAGGAATATGTGTATGAGTCTTTTTTTTTTTTTTTTTCTAAATAGAAATCCTCCATAGGTACAAATTGCTTTGCACACACACACACAAACAAATTTTTAAAAAGGGGATTGGTCAAGGTGTGATGGCTCACACCCGTAATCTCAGAACTACAGGGACTGAGGCAGAAGGATTACCATGAGAACTAGGTTACGCTGGGCTACAGCGAGACTCTTTTTTTTCTTTTCTTTTTTTTTTTTTTCAAGACAGGGTTTCTCTGTGTAGCTTTGGAGCCTGTCCTGGAACTCACTCTGTAGCCCAGGCTGGCCTCGAACTCACAGAG